ACCTCCCTTATTTCACTTTTCACGCTTTTTTTTTTTTTTTGCCAAGTTTAATTAGAGACAGTTATACCTGGCTATAATAGTTCATCCATTTGAAAAGTTCTTACATTTTTGGAAACCAACTTCAAAAAACATATTTTTTTCAGCTCTAGTATCAAGGAAAGATTCAAACTTTCCATTTTTCTCCATGTTCTTTCATAAAGTGTGCAAGAAAAGGGAATACAGGGTGTCTGGGATGTTAGCTATTCTTTTAGGTATTATTATGGGAGATCATCTGTGAAACTTTCTTTGCTGCCCTGTAATTTACACCAGTGCTGCTGGTAATGACTGTAAGATATATGTGAGCAGCACTAATGGGTATGGATCACTGTTCTCCTAGACTGCAAATAAAAGGAGCACAGGGAATGATGACACTGTATGATAGATCAATGCAGCTGCAGATTGGTCCTTAGGCTATTCAGGTTATTTTCCTTAAAAGGCATCATGCCTCACACATTCTGCTGAAGGCTATCCATATCCATTCAAGTTCATGATAGCTATTCTTACATTCCTTCATTTTTAACACCACTGCTAAGACTGCTAGTGTAATTTTTAATGAGAATGAAGAGACAGTGTGTCTTTTATCAGGTTCTGATCTATCTAGCTTAAATTAAAACTCTTTGTTATATTTTTCCCTATGCTTATTCAAAGGATTAGTGAGAAAATGTCACACAGCAGCTACTTGCGTCCTCATTAACATTCATGGCAAAACCTTCCGGCTGGGCTGGTTTCAGTTGCTGATGGAGCAATACTTAAAAGAAATTGGCTTGTGTGTGAAACAGCTGCTCAGCAATGTCACTATGCAAGGGAATTGGTGATAATAAGATGATACTGTTACAGCTACACTGGGAGCATAATATATTTTAAGCTGCTTTGAGGTATACGGTGGAGGTCCAAGAAGTGGAGCATGATTACTTGTCTGTTGTTAGGAATAGGAAACAGCTGATCATTAAGTGTCTGCTCATATGGGTTAGTATTACACAAAACTTTGAGGTAAGAGAAAAATTCACATCTGCTGGAATTTTTCATTTTCGGTGTGTTTCCTATCTGCTGGAAAGGCTTTTTGTTTCTTTTCCTAGTGTTTGGACAGGTATGTGTGTCCCACTGCTGAAACAGGTATTGCGCTCTCTGCCAGGACCATTTGTTGTTTCATAGTAACTTTCCTCATTTCAAGGCTTTATTTATTTGGCAAGATTCTTAGGAGAAGATTCTGTGGATCCTCACACACCTATTAGTGAAATCCCAGAAACTGATTTTGCTTGAAATGACCATCCTGTATGTCAATGCAATGACAAACATGCAATATGATGGTGGCAATACAGATGTAAACATCTGCACATAAGGCTCAGCCAAGAAAAAACTGGCAGCTGGCATTGTGTTGTGTAGTGACTTATGCTAATGTACACCACTTGTCTAGAACATGGAAACTGAAGGAAGAATTATATTATCAGATCTTTGGTTCTGAGACATCTTTGAATCTCATGTACCATGAGGAATAAATGCATCTAGAAGAATGGAGCAGTCAAAAGTCCCAATACAGTTACAGATCTTTAGAAATGTGGAGTACAAATGAGTAGGAAATGAAAGATTATGAAGGGCTTAAGGATGCAAGAACTGATAGGCAATTAAAAGAAAGGTATAATTTTTCTGATCATAAATGGCACCAAATTTGTTCGTAACTTCTGAAGATCTCTGTTACAAATTTAATCTTGAGCTACTTCTGCTTTTAATAATTACAAACATTTATTTCTTGTATAGATTTGGAAGTATCACACTTTAGGTGAAACAAAATATAAAACTGACACAGAAATTATACAGGTAGCCAGCAGGCTGAGGGAAGGGAATCTTCATCTCAGGTCAGCATTGATAAAGCCACACATGGAGAGTTAGGTCCAGGTGTGCACTCCCCAGTACAAGAGAGATATGGACACTGGTGCAATCCAAGCAAGGGGCAGTAAGATGATGAAGGGACTGAACTACCTAATCTAAAAGCAGAGGCAGAGAGAATTGGGACCGTTCAAACCAAAGAAAATATCTAGTGGGGGGATATATAGCCCAGTGACAGCAATGGGTAAAAACTAAGAAAAACAAAACAAAACAAATCAGGAAATTCAATGTAAACACAAGAAAACACTTTATTGTGAAGATAGTCAAACACTGACACAAGCTGCTCAAAGATGCTGTGCATTCTCTATCCATAGAGATATTAAAAATACAGCTGCACATGATTTTGGATGATCTGTGATAGCTGAGCCTGCTTGGAGCAGGAGGGTTGACAAAGCCACCCCCATCATGTCTCAGCCATGCTCAGATTCTGTGATTCTGTGTAAAAATGTTTGTCTCATCAGAGGCTAAAGAGACATTGTTCAAGTTACAGTAGATTGAATTTCCTTTTAGATTAGATCATGAATAGGAATCTGGGAAAAATCCTGAAAAGGAAAACAGATCTCAAATTGCCTCTCAAAATGGAAATCTTAACATCATATCTATGCTTAAGTTATCATATCTAAGCTCTGTGGTTGTGGGGCAGAAAACAAATTAAGAAAGATAAGGCTTATGAAGGTCAGATCAAAAATCTGAAGAGCACACCTCTAAAAAGTCTTATGTTGCAAAACTTAGTATTACCCTAAGACATCTAGTACAGCATTAAAAAAAAACACTGTAAAATCTACAAGATATTCCTTTGATGTACTTTCATGAGTTCTCAAAATTATATGAACATCTGAACAAAAAGAGAGCTTGGCAGCAGCTATAGTTGAAATTAACTCCTCAAGGGACCAACACTGATATCTATCTCAGCATTACTTAGATATTCATATATTTATTTGTTGCACAGGTAATAAACAAAACTTCCATAAAATCATCACAATTGGCTGTATCTGTTTTGCTATTTGTGGTGTACGAGCATTAAATGGCAGAATTGTGTATCAGAATTCCTTTGTGCAATCACAGTACCAAATTAAAAAACAACAAAAAATGGATTATGCTCAAACAGCTAAAAAATGGACATTAGCTATTGCTTTATATGGAAAAGCATCTTAGCATTTTAAACTGCAAGAAATCTAGCTGATTTTACACTGGAAGTCTATTAGGTGAATATATTTTTCCATTAATGTCTTTGCCCTTCTGGAAATAAGCAGTTTTTCCATACAAGTGAACAAATTTTGAATAGCTTTAAAATAGCATTGAAATTCTGAAAGCATACACAAAGTTCAAATGCTCTCTGATAAGACATCACATTGCAAATTCTCTTTAAAACATCAATAATAAGATAGAAGAAACAACTTAATCTTTTATTCCAATTTTCTGTGGAGCAGATCCCAGAAGGGAGTATTTACACCCAGTCAGGAACTTTAAGCCATACCTTACCATCAGTATTAAAACACAGAACTTCAGATTACTGAAAAAGCCATAATGTCTTTAAACTCAGTACAATACAGAAAGGCCTGAAGTTGGCAAAGAATTAGCAAAGTGCTGTCTGAGCTCTGTGGTCAATGAGCCCAGTGTTTTCAGTGTGCTGCATGGTCACTGAACACCAGCAATCACCCCGGTTTCCTTCTAGGAAAAAAAAAGCCCTGTGCATGCTCTAGATGGTTTGAAATGTCTGTTCTGTTTGCACACTCATCCTGTAATACTACATACAAATTCTCGATTTTTTAAAGATCCTTTGAAAACAACTAGTTTTTTTTTAAATCCACTACTTTAAAAGATTACACTTTTACATTAAAAATGGAAGTCATCACATCAGAGCAGTGCACGATCATCCCCACCTTCCAAGGACATTCTCTAAATTACATTAGCATCTGATCTGCTAGAGACTTTCCTTCAGCTCATCTTCATACTACACTTTTCCCATTCCCTTTTCTTATAATTCATTTTTTCCTCTGTGTCACATTGAGAGAATCAATATTAGAAAAAAAAATCTTTAATTGGATAATAATACAGAATTACCCTAAGGAGTTTTCACTTCTTTCTGAATTGGACTGAAGAGTTTTGAAGCAAGCTTCCAAGTTCAGAAATAACACTTCCACAATTCTCCTATATGTGTGCAGCATATGATCCATTACCTGGGGTTAGCCAGCTTTACCCACCTATTTTCAGGCTTTCCACCCACATGCAGCTCTGCAATTCCCTTTGCAATGCTGATTTACACCTCTTAATGCCATACTCTTTTCAACTTACACATATGCAGAAATGCTCAGGGTGACACTTCCAATACAAATACAGATTTTATATTTAGATAAAACCATAATTTGAAAACATGGACACAACCATAAAAACAGTTTAATGTTCAGTATCAAAGACAAACACTTAGCAAATTGTCACACCATAACCTTGATCTTGAAAAGATCTTATAAAGGCTGATCACAAGGAAATAAAACCCTCAAATTGTTCTTTTCTGTTCTTTATAGGTAGAGTAGATGTGTTCAGTACTGCTTAAGTGGTTTGTATGATAATCTCTCTCAAACACAACTTGAGGCCTTAGTGTTTGGAAGCCAGAAGCCCTCTTAGAGCCTCTGTACATGACAAGAAAATCATGCAGGAAAAAACAACAGCCTTAAGGCTATAAAAAGGCAGAGTACACAAATACTGCTCTGCAATAACAAAAATCAGGGGAGATCCACCGTTCATCTTGCAACAGTGAACATAATTACAAACCTAAATTTTGCATTTGAAACTAGGAGACAAAAATTATAAACCTCTCTATGCATATCTAATCTCTTTTTTCAACATTAGCCAAGCCTGCAGGCACTTAACAGTCTGATTCTTGATGTCATTGTAATTAAAGGCAATACTCACAAGGCTGATAAGCATACCAGCTGTATATTAACCCTTATCTTAGCAAAACTGACAACTGCAAATGTGATATCTAATTGTAAAGAAAAGAACATTGGAATTTATTATGGATATTATGGCTTTTAAATCCAATAACCTTGAAAATAAGTAAATTATATCCAGCCTACCGTCAAACTTTTTGTGCCGGGATACGAAAGTCGTGCGTACAAAGTGACTTGTCTCCTCCACTAAGTTTTCAAACTCCAGTTTGCTCTGTTGGCTTAACTTGTCCTCCATTTCTGAGGTGCAGCATGTATATTCCTGAGGGCAGATTCTCAAATGTTCCCCTGGAATCACAAGAAAATAAGAAATTAGAAATGTTTGATTACAGATAGAAAAGAAACAGAACCAAAAACACACATGATGGGTCTTCAGTTTTTGTGGGCTACCCAGGGAGCTCTTTAAGGCTTGACTTAAAGAGCTTGACAGGAGACATCTCGAATTTGTATCAACAACTTTGCTATGGCTGGGTATTCCTCACAGGGGAGAGGAGACACACGTTGCAGAGTTGTTTTTATACTTCAAAAAGTAAAATTGCCTCACACCAAAAGTGTTCTCCACCCTGAAGAAGCCTTCCACATTTACTGAAGCATAGTTAAAATTTGAAAAAAACAATTGCTTGCTTTCTGTTTGTATTCAAATTGCCTGGAGAAATATCTAGTGAGATGACCTATTACAAGCCACTGGATCTGTCAAAAATTGCAAAACAAAAATTATGCATTTGTTGTCAAAACCTGTAGAAAAGAAATTATGCATTTTTGTAGCCAGGTCCCACTTGCCCAAGTGCACCAAAACATTTTTTCCTTCTCCCCTTCCTTCCCCTCTTCTTAAGTGTATTTTAATGATTGTGTTTGGGTTTTCTTGGGCAGCATTTCTTGTCAGACTGAGCAAGTACTCTGCTGAATAGGAGAAAGCAGTGAAGAGTTTAATTAATGCTTATATTATATGGAAATGCAATGTAAAAAGTAATGAAAGCCTCTTATTTAATTCAATAGATTTATCTCTTGAAGCACTCTGCCATTTCTTCTGACAATATTGCTTTCTTTAGTACAATTTGCACGTGGAAACCAATTCTTCAGCTCATGAAATTAAAATGGTCTGTTATTACATAAAATGTGAATTTCCAATTGACACTGTACTAAGGGTGTCAGAAACATTTAGCTTGGTTTGTACAAAGGCAGAAAATTTTACCATTTCCTCTTGAGAAATAAAGAGTATGATCTGCCTGTATGATTAAAGTTACTTGTAAGGCAATGAAAACATTTAGCTTTCTGTACACCGAATCCTGATTAAAAATCCCTCTGCAAATCTCTTAAAGGTGCAAATAAAATGATATACAAAGCCCAAGGGTTAAATAAATACCGGGGACCTGATTCTCATTTCTATTGAGGCTCCTTTCTACCACTGCTGAGCCATAAAGAAGACTTAAATGCAATTTATATCTACTTTAAGGCTGCTTTTCACCATTCTTATTATGTAGTGAGGAGAAGCAGGCCCTAAGTTTTATGCTTCCCAGGGGTATAATACATTTAGCTGCTGCATCATTTTGAAGACAGCATCAAAAAGAGGTCTGCACATGCTTAGAATAAACACTGTCTTGAGTTTGCCCTCACCTTATTCGAATTTATGTTTCTGTTCTCGAATGAAGTCTTTTAAGTCTTGAAATTTAGTCATTCCTCAACCCTGACTCCTCACCCCATCTTAATTTGCTTTTTCTGCAAGAGTTCGTAATATATGAATTACAATGCCATGAGATTTCTTTTAGCAGCCTCAAGACTTTTTAAAAGCTCACAGCTATACATCTTCAGAAAGGATCATTTTATTATTATCAGTTACTGTTGGGCAGTACTACCTACAAATCCCAGTCATGTCCAAATGAACCATGATATAAAACTTTGTATAAAAGTGGGAAAAAAAATATATCCCATGACCATCAAAATATTGTAAGGATTGCTTCCCATGTCTGCTACATCCTCCCACCACAAGAAATTAATTCCTCTCTATCCTCAAAGTCACACACCTAAGCCATAAACAGCACATACAGGGACTGGTGAGCCAGCTGCTGTCAAACATAAAAGATAGTGGCAGACTAATGTTTGCCTTACCCTCTACATCTCTGTCACATTAAACTGCAACTATTCAACAGGTAAGGGAGGCGCCATAATAAGAAACAATAAAGGTTATTTCAGTAACAGTAATGTGAGTTTTTATTAGATGTCAGAAAGACAAGTAAAGTTGAAATATTGTATCATTAGAAGCAGTGCTGTGTGCTTGATTAAATAAAAAAATACCCCATCCATAATGTCTGCAACCCCCTTTCCTCAATAAATCCAGGGGTTTTTCCCTTATTGAAAATACCTACTTTCCCAGCTCCAGTCAGAGCGATAGTTTATGCTTTTTGTTATGATAATAACGTCTGGTGCCATTGCAACCGAGAATTTTTATAAAATTCACTTTTCTTTTCTCTCTTCATCTGAAGTTCTTATGCTTTTTTGTCTGGCTCTGTTTGTTTCTCAGAATTGTCAGGTTATAAGCTGGTAATAGTAATCATCATTGCACTGTGCTTAGTAAGTAACAGCCATGAGTCCAAATTTTCTAAGACACTATATTAGGCTGAGTATTATGACAAATTAAATTGTATTGAATGGTCATTTTTGAAGGAATAGTAATTTTTTCTTCCTCTGATTTATTTAGAGTCTTAGTTTTGCTTTGCTACAAAAATTATTTCTCACTTTGCCTGCTACAAAATCATTCAGACTCCTAGTGCATTGCTTTCTTTTACATGTATTTTCATTAAGTTTCTTCCCTTTAGTTCACTGATTATTCCTTCATTCATGAGGCTCTTGACTGTAGAAACTCACATTTATCAGAAACACTCACAACTCCTACATTATCTCATTGACTTTTTCTCCTGACAAAATGTCTTCCTAAATCATCTAGCCAACTGCCCTCATCACAAAAAATTTGCTGTAGAATGATGAAATGTCTTTCTACAAAAGACATTTCTAATTCCTCTCTCTTCCCTGTCCATATATTTTCTGTTAATTTTCTGTAGAAAGAAATAATAATGGAAATATTTTGCTACTTTTCATATTCTGTTTCAAGATTTTTGCTTCCTTCTCTCTCCTACACTGGAGGATCAGGTCTGATGATAGATAAAGTAAAAGAAAAAGCATTTTCCATTGATCCACACCAATGGAATATTTATATGCTTAAGATGCTCAAGTAAATTTTGTAAAAATAAAGCTTTTGAAACTTTTGCTCATAAGCCCTGCGATGTTTTTGCTGGCCATGACTGACTGCAGTTTCCAGAAGTTCATAACTTGGACAAAAGATCATGGGCGTTCCTGGGAAGGGCAAAGGGAAACTCTGACAAAGTAATTTCTGTATGCTTAATCTTTTCTTTTCCTTTTTAAAAGCATGATTCTCATTTTGTGCTTGTTATTATCAAACCACCAACTAATGTTAGAATTGCCAGGTCATTAGTTCACTCCCTGTTAAAAAAAAAAAATGGACACACTTTTCTTAACATAAAAGTAGGGGGTTTGTTTGTTGTGTTTTTACGTTGTGTTTTGCTGGGGGGGGGTGTATTGGTTTTTTGTTTGGTTTTTTGGTTTGTTGTTGTTGTTAGCTTGGATATTTTTAATTAAGGGGTGTGTGCTTCATTTCGGAATTTTTTTCTTCTTTTGTGCAAATCTGTGACCTAAGGGGCTGTTTGGATTGGAAATAACTCTGCAGGACAATTTGATTGTGCTTCCTCTGATTTTTTGAATTGGATCATTTACCATTTGCATTTTGTAAAACATTGTTCTATTACCATAGAAAGTGTTTAATCACTAATTTGTGTATTTACACACCTCAAGTATTTTGCAGGCTGAAAATGTGCTCATAACTAATGTACCAGTTCTTGCCCTGGGAAACTCCATATGGTCTAGGTTCTTATGCTAATTTTAGCAACGATTTTTATGGCACAAGTGGCATTGGTTATAACTGACTAGATTTACCTTGTTGCAAATGGTGTCTCCCCAAACAAGTTTGACACAAATGTAGTTACACTGCACCAGCATTCTGCCAGGATGAACAGCTACTAACTCAATATTTCCAGCGACCTACCACAACTCTTCTATCCACTGTTTCCAGCCGAAGATGCTGACCTACATATCTCTCCTCATGTGGCTTATGTTATATAAATCAAATCAATTGCCTACTACAAATTCAGCTACCAGTATTCAATTTCAGTTTTATTACAGCTGTAATCTCACACCTGCCTTCACATGATCCAAATTGGCAAGTTTTGCAGTTGAATTTGGCAATCCTGCTGGCAATGCTGCTTTGAAGTGTGATAAAGCAATTTATAAAGCACTTGTTTTATATTCAGATATATTACTGTTTGGTGTCCTTAAAATGCGCTACAAAACTCAGAAGTCTTTAAAAAATTGCAACTTACAGCTCTGAAGCTGAATAAATGCTTTTACTGCATATCAAAATGCCAGAACTGATCTGAGAGTGGTAACTGCTTGAGGAAGAACAGTCTGAAGGATCAGTAAACCCTATGGAATATAACATTACCCTCAACAATTTAACCACCAGATTTCCTGAACACCTTGGTTATATCATTAGAAATGGAAGTATTATCACATAACATATTTATTATCAGGCAGAATTTTTTATAGGTCATGTTGCAAGTTTAGCAATTTTGGAAGCAATTCTTTCTTAGGCAGTCAAAATTTTATAGTTCCTATTCTAATCATAAATTTAAAGCCATGATAGTGGTCTGTTCACAGAATGGTAGGACTAACTGTGTGACTGGGGAGAATAGAAACAGAGTAACCACCCTGCTTCATAAATCCAGCAAGGAATAAAAATTATTAAATAAAAGGGGTAAATTAAAGATGCGCTTTCAAACTTGATCACCTTGTATGCATCAACAGAGCCTAAAAGAAGAAAAGGTATCTATACATTCTTCATATTGCAGGTTACATTGATGTGATTTGGCTTTGTCATTAGCTGTGCTCTTTGAAACTTGAAATACTTGCTTCAGACCTGCACATATTCAGCCACTTGTGGATAAAGCAGTGGAATTTATTAACAGTATGAGCTTTAACAAAGACAAGTATCTAGTCCTGCACATGGAACAGAACAGTAAAAGAGCCCAGTACATGCTGACACCTGTGTGGCTGGGGAGCTGCCTTGCTGAAAAGGATGGGGTCTCCTGGGGGACACCCAGCCAACGTGAGACAACAACACCCGGCAGCAGCAGCAGATGCAAATCTGATACTGGGTTGCA